CCATCTCCCCAGCAGGAGGAAAGGGACCCCCCTTCCAAGCGCCGTGACCCTGCACACCCCTCTCTCCACACCCTGGCTTCCGACAGCTGGCAGCCATCGCTACCCCGCCACAAAAAGTTTCGCGACGCCGAAAGCGACTGGAAAGAAAGTTTTCCTTGGCCTCTCGCTCCCTCTCCCCCGTCCCCGGGCGCAGGAAAGCAGTAGGAAATCAGAGATCACGACGTGCCGACTCCGGCGTCCACCTTCTCCACCCCTGGCCCGGGCAGCGCGCCCAAGGTGGGTGCCCTGCGCGGAGGCTTCCTGCCCCAGCCCGGGGTCAGGCGCCCTGGGACGCTGCGCGGCCAACTCACCATGGTGACTCGCACCGCGGTCGCGCCTCTGCTGGTCGGGCTGCGGGGGAGCTGGGACTCTTGGAATGAAGTCTCCTGGGCAAACTTCAAAAGTTGGTTCCCTTCGCCAAAACCGGGCTCTCGACACCCAAGCACTCACAGGAGCCGATGGGAACCCTAGGGGGACTCCATCCAGGCGGGATCCGCGGCGCTAGGTGAAGGCGACAGGGAGGCTACTCAGCAGGAGGGACGCATGCAGCCCAGGGCAGGGGTCCGCTAGGGCCGGGCGCTCGCCCTCAGCCCGGCTGCGTCCGATGCTCTCCGCGCGTCTGCCTGGCTGCCCTGCCTCGCTCCTCTTTCTTCGGCCACTAACTCCGTACTCCTCCGGCCGACTCTCGGCTCGGGCAGGGCAATCTGTCCATAAATGGAGAATTCAGTTCGGGCCTGGCCAATCAGGGTTTGTTTTCGCAGCGTCACTCCTTAGGGAAACCGTAGCAGCCAACAAGCTTGGAGCTGGTGGCGTTTCCAAAGCCCTCTGGATCCTGTAGTTCCCCGCGCCGCAGAGCCGGCTCGCTCCCGGCGGCCAGACGGAACTGTCAGGAAGAAAACTCTGAAACAGAAGTAAACCTCTCGTGTGTTCTTTCTTTCTCTTCTTAACGCGAAAGTTAGAGTCGCTGTAGCTTCCCAGCTGAAGTGGTATGATTTTCCCATAACTTTTATTTTTTTAGGAGGAAATATTTTATCAGCATAAAAGATCAGAGTTATGGCAGCGACCCAAAGGAAATCCTTTTTCTTTCCAACGTCTGGATTGTGAGGAAAGTAAAAAATACCATTTCCCCCACCCCTCCTTTTACCTGAGTTTCCTTGGAAAACAAAGGAAGCCCCCCTCCTCCCTCACCCCCTCCTATTTTGTGAAGTTGCACGTGCAGCAAACAGGACAGGGGAGAGATAAGTGGGGAGAAAGCACCCTTCAACCTTAGTCTACCCAAATCTGTTGAGAGCAATTAGCCGGACAATCAGAACTGTAAAAGTACATCATTCCAGAGTGAGGGGTTTCAAGAACTCAAGTGGGCAGTAAGGAGAGGATGGGGTGGGGAAAAGCAGAATCCTGAAATCGGTAAGGAATCTGATTTTAGTGTTTTAAGGGTTCCAGAAGTAAACTTGATGGGTTACAACAAGATCGTGGGGTCTGTGGAAAGGTTTGAAAACTCGAAGGCACAGAACAACTATGAAACATAATGATTTACTTTAAGAACCGAGGTGGTGGCCGTTCACTTGAATGTAGCATCCTAAAGTTGGAATGGATGTTTAAAATCATTTTGTCTAGAATGGGTAAACAAAAATGCAATATGTCCACACCACGGAATATTAATGAGCCATTAAAAAGGAAGGAACTCCTGACACATGCTACAACTTAGATGAACCCGGAAAATATTATGTTAATTGAAAGAAGCCAGCCGAAACCGGTTTGGCTCAGTGGATAGAGCATCGGCCTGCGGACTGAAAGGTCCCGGGTTCGATTCCGGTCAGGGGCATGTACCTGGGTTGCGGGCACATCCCCAGCATGTGCATCTTCTCCTTGGGGCAATGAAAATATTCCGGAATTAGACAGTGGTGATGGTGGCACAGTTTTGTAAATATACTGAAAGCCACTGAATTGTACCTTTTAAAGGAGTGAATCTATGCTATGTAATATCTGTGCTTTAAGAATGGAAAGAAAATCATGTTGACTAAATTCGTACAGTAATCATCCGCTCAGTTCGGCAATAGATATAACTGAATGCCTACTTGTACAGGTCAGCACAGCCACTGTGAGTGTCATGGCCTGTGCCTCCACTCAGCGTCTGATTTTGGAATGAGGGAGAGAGAAGACAAGTTTTAAACCAAGAAATAATTGCAAGAAAAGTACAAATATGATGAGAAGTGATAGCACCTTCTTATGAGGGACTGCCATATTTGTAGCTACAGTTTAAGTTAGAAAATTCACCTGGCAGAGGCCTTAGTATAGACTGTAAAGGAAACAGACATCTGTTGAGTGCTCCCTATGCACTAGGCATTGCTAGGTACAAATAGATGTGATTCACCAAATTCTCAGGTAAATCTGATTCCATGTCTCAGGGGCACATCAGCTTCAGAAAACCATCAGGCACTTTAGGAACTAGTGCCCAGGCATTACCGAGAGGGACATGTGAGCTTACCAACACAAGGAGCACTACTTTGGGTTGAAAATAACACGTCGCCCGTGCTACCGTGGTCAGTCCTGACCAGTAGCTGGATTGACATGGGCTTCAAGTAATACATACCAAATCCTGGTTGTTTTCCCCAAGGTTAACCCAGGGATACAATGAGACACTTAAAACTACTTAATAGCCTAGCAACAACCTATTCAATCTTGGATTTATCTAAAAGTACCTTTAAAAAAAAGAACCGTTTTTACTGATTTTTAGAGAGGAAGGGAGAAGAGAGAAACGTCGATGTGAGAATGTAACATCAATCAGCTGCCTCCTGCACGCCCCCCACCAGGGATGGAACCCCAAACCCAGGCATGTACCTTGACCAGAAATCAAACCAGTAACCTCTCCATGCACAGGATGACGCTCACCCAACTGATCCATAGTGTTCAGGGCTCTAAAACTACCGGGACACTATTTGTTGGTTGAGATTTTTTTTTTAAATGCTTACTTTTATTTGCCCTAATAATCTCTTTCCAGTTTCAAAACATATTACTAACTTCAGGTTGGACTTTGATGAAGAACTATGCTTGTATTCATTTTTGCTGATCCTATATAATAAAAGGCTAATATACAAATCGTCCCCTCGACCTGGATTTCAACTGGGAGTTCAACCAGGGGGCGGGGCCGGCCAACTTCCCTCCCCTCCCCCTGGCTGGCCTGGCCCAATGGGCCTCTACTGAGGCCTGCTGGCTGGACCCCACCTTTTATTATGAATTCATGCACCAGATCCGTAGTTTTGTAATAAGATTCCTTTCCAGACTGAAAGGGGGCGGGGCCGGCCAACTTCCCTCCCCTCCCCCTGGCTGGCCTGGCCCAATGGGCCTCTACTGAGACCTGCTGGCTGGACCCCACCTGTGCATGAATTCATGCACTGGGCCTCTAGTAGTTTAATATTTACCTAAGAGCCTAAAATTGATAATTTCTTTTCATTTCCATTTTTGTCATATCTACCCTTATACCCTCAAGAAAAAAGAAAAAACCGTATTCCCCAACTCTTCTACTCAGCTAGTCCTCCTCCCACTGCAAAACAAAGGCCGTCCCTGGGTGAGATCAGACCAACTGTGGCCCTCTGAAATGCATGCCAAGAGGGGGAGGGGCTGTTTATGTGTGCCCTTTTCTTCAGGGAGAGTTAATAGCTCTCATCAAATTCTCAAAGATTCCATAAATGCCAAAACATTAGGACCCATAGCTCTGGATCAGATTCGTTATGCCTCTCTGGACCTTGTATCCATCACTGTGTTTTTCTTCAGATTTAAGGATTAGAATTAAGTCTGATAGTATCAGGGCAGAAGTTCTCCTTGCCTTCTCAAAGCAGAACCCACTAGTTCAGTCTGAACGTAGAATATAGCGTGCGATCATTTGGTAGAGCCTGTAATTTCATGGAGAATCCCTTTAAGCCTACCTTATTCCATTCCCGTCTTAGGGAGGTGCATTGTCAGTTTTGGCAAGGGTGATGGTATGTTCTGGTTTATCTGGGAGAGTCCTGATTTATGCCTTTATCTCAGTGAAATAATTAACTGTACCCTTCTTGCATCCCAAAAAAGGCCTAGTTTGAATAATAAATTATGGTCATCTTAGATTTTTTTTTTACCAAATTCATCCTCTGCCCAAATCCTTCAATTCCCCCCCCCCCCAATTTTCTTGATTTACACTTATTTTTCAGAGGACTCTAATATATTACCAGATATTTGTGGGGAGCCTCTATAAGGTTAAGCCTCGGACTGACCTGTAGGCAAAGTCACAAACAAGTCCCAGCTTAGAGGGCACAGGCCTCTTAAGCATAATTAGGCTTGACTTTATGATGCTCCCTAGATCTTACCTGGGAAGCTAATGGGCTGAGGAAGTGCAACAAGAATAACAACAAGTGAAACTCACAAGAACAGTGTAACTTTGGTAACCACTACCTTGTTTACCTCTGACTATAAAATAAAGGCTCAGCTCGCCTCAGGATCTTTCTCTGTGGCCTCAGCCAGGCACAGGAAGATCCACGGAGACTAAAGAGAGCTAGAGAGCTATGAACGCTGTCTCCGGGTAAAACATTCTTCGCCGACTCTGTCCACACCTTTGGGAACCCCTGGACCACTGGGGCTGGACCCCAGCAGATATTTATTCTTATTTGAGATCATAGTTGCAATGAAGTGAAATCAGCTTTTAAAATTGTAAAACTCATTCTAGACACATGATGGAGCTAGTCAGATGAGACTTTATCTGTTGGCATGATCAACTGCATTTATCTGGAGCTGAATGAAAAGGAAAATAGAAACATCAAGATGGATACAAAACACAATTTCCCATATGAATCTGTAAGCAAAAAAAATCACCATTTATACATTTTTGGAAAACAAACAGTAAGAGGATTATGTAAAGCAATAAAACTAGTTTCCATGTCAGTGCCATAAAAGAACATCAGAATGCATTCACAACACCCCAATTAAAGAAAAATTTGTTATTGAGAAAATGAGACCAAAAATCTTTAACAGGACATTGAGGAAAAATAGACCTGTATCGCATCAATGTGAAATGTCCCAGGTAAGGGGGTGGGGCGGTGGGGAGATAAGAAATCAGCCAAAGGACTTGTATGCATGCATATAAGCATAACCATTGGACACAGACACTAGAGGGGTGGGGACATGTGCTGGGGGGTGGGGGTGGCCAGGGAGAGGTCAGTGGGGGAAAAGGTACATATGTAATACTGTTAACAATAAAGAATTTAAATTAAAAAAAGAGAAATATCCCAGGTAATCAGCCTCTCCTGGAACAGGCATCATGTATGCGGTTCAGTACGTACCAGCTACTTAGCTAAATGCTTACTGTACAATTTCTTACTTAATCTTCCATACAACCCTACTAATTTTATTTGTAGTTAAGAAGCTAAGTAGAGAGCTTAAAGTAACTTGCCCAAGCTATCACTCAGCTACCAGGCATCAAATCTATTTGCCTGACTCTGAATCCCAAACCCTTACCCTCTGAGCAGTGGCTCTCTAGTAGGAATGCATATCAGAAGAAATTTTCCTTCCTGTAGGCCCAGTACGAACAGACACACACTTATTAAAACCCGAAAGCCTCTCCAAACCAGGGCTCCTGGAAAAATTCTTGCTTTTTTGTGGGACATAAGAATTACGTTTGTGTAGAGTGTAACTCAACTTTAAACATCTTTGTTCTTCACCTAATATGTTTTTTAATAT